TCTTATGTCTAAATTTATATAATTGTAATTAATAATGTTATTTTAAAATTACTTAACCATGATAGTGTATTGATTGGAAGAAATATTACAGGGTGATAAAAAAAAGTAGATTTTTTTTTACATACAAACGTACTTAACTCTCATAAGAGGTAGTTTTGAAGTTTTAAAAGCACTTCCAATGTGGCGAAATGTGGGCGAATTTAGCTGTTCCCGAACCATATAATATCATTTCCATAATAACCCTATAAGAATTCATCGAAAATTGTAGCCGTTTGTAAAATATGAGTTGTTTGCAAAATCCGAAACGCCGTTTTCGAAAATACGAATTAATAAACGAGCAATAAAAATAAATAAGTGAAAAAATAATAGTAGATTATTTAGAACAGTTACACAATCAACATGTACTTAATTTTTGCATATTATAAAAATTAGGTCTATATATTGAATTAAATTGATTTTTATATTAACGCAATTTATCTTTATCACATTAAGATTATATAAACAAATCAATAAACAATTGTATACATAAATGAACTTATAAATCTAACAGTAATTTTACCTGTCACGGAAGTATTTAATTTAAATTTCAATTTTTAATCACCTTTTGAGTATATTGAGATATGGGTTACAAGTGTGTATTTAAATGTACAACTAGATACTTTTTCCTAACTTGTTATTTGTATTTAATAGCTAGGTTAATATTCATTAAATATTGTGTTTTTTCTCCATTTTATTTTCAATTAAAATTTATTATCTTTTTGCATCATTTTTCACCTTTTGTGAATTTAATTATAGAGTTTTTAAAATAAAAACAAAAACATGTGTATTTAAATATAATTACTATTTACACATGAGTTCGAATAATGCACACATACACCTCTCCCAGTATTATAACTATTTTTCACAATTCAACCGAATCATAATCAATTATCATCTAAAATATAATTTAAAATAAAGTAACTCATTTGATTTTAACGAGTTTACACTACACTATAATTAACATTATTGATTTCACCTTAATTTATTATTTTTAATATGAACTGTTTAATTAAAATGCATGAACGGTAACGAAACCAAAATAATAAAAAAATTTTTTAATAAAAATAAAGCAAAAAAAAATTGCCGCACGGCGGTGAGCAATTTTTCCATTTTAAAATCGAACCTTAACTTATCAATTTAAATTAACACAAATTTTTATGAAATGGCCTTAACTAACCTACATAATATTGCATGAATAACAACATAACGATGTAGATAAAGTGCGAAAATTGTATTGATAATGAAAAATATTGACATGAAATAATTCCCACATAACTATTACGTGGGTAATAAGTGCTCTTCGTGTAATATCATACAGAGTGGGATCTGCGGTGTGGCTTAGATTGGACCAGGTTAATTTCACGATGGTGTCTTTCACTAAAAAAAGAAGTCTGCGTGCAATAATATTGCATAGTGAAACCATTGAACTGAAGGCGGAAGTCAAGTATTAGGGTTTAACATTTGACAAGGGACTTCCGCGGTACAAACAATGCCATGGCAATGACTACCGGCGCCGTCACTACCGTTATGCTAGTGATTCTGTTTACAACATACAGTGGCTTGGGTAGAAAGGATCGATCTCGAAGATTTGCTTAGATATTTTTAAACTTTAAAAAACTCGAGTGACTTTAAAAGCTAATTACAACAGCAAATTATAGTTGGCTCTTGTTTATTGCATACGTTTGTTTTTAATACAGTACGAATCTTAATAGCATTCGTTAAAATTTCGAAGAACTATCATTTCAGTCGTTCATACTTTGGGACAAAAATTAATTGAGCTTAAAACAATTTTATAGTTGAAAATAAAATGAATCAACAGTTTTTAAAAAAATATCTCTATTAAAGATCTTTAACATTGTGTGCTTTGTGCTACACAATAAAATGCAAAATTTTATGCAAATTAAAGAGCTTTAAAGCGAATATATATAAAAAAAATATAAATGGTTAAAACTAATAAAATCACGTAACTTAATATGTAAATATCGCATAGATATTCGCATTAATTTAATAAGGGGGTTTTGTGCATAAAATTATAATCGACATTTTTATTTTACTTAATATTGAATTATTTTTATTATGATTATTATTATTATTAATTTTGTCTTAAAGTGATTTCAAAACAATTATTCATAAATATGTATATATACGCGATATTTAATGTACACAAATGTGAGTATACAGGGGCTATATAAGTAAAACGCAAAGATAAATATCTCTAATTTAATGTTTATATATGGGAGCCCCGTATACATTTGTATATTGTAGTTGTTTATCAGATTACGTATCTCTACTTGTTTCGATATAGAATTTAATTGAGGTGTAGATTTGTATCTGTCATGAATTTCAATTAATAAAATCTTTGATAAAAAAAAAAATTAAAGAAATAAATTAGATAAATTGTACGAATTCAATGGAAATTATTGTAATACCTGCCACCTTATTAAAAAATTAACATAATTTACTTATAATTTACAATATTGTTTAGATTTAGTAAATATTTTCGTTATATAATTGATTTGCAATAAAAAAAATAATACGAGTATTAAGTAAATTAAAAACGTAATTTATTTTATATAGCTATCAATTTAAGAATGAAATAGATTTAAGAGAGATTGTTCGTGAGCTAAGATTTTCTTGTACAATTTAGAAGTTACACAGTAATTGGTTTTTGTTTTATAAATATGTATTGTATATTTACCACAATCATGAAAAATTATATATATTAGGACGTATTATTTACAGAACCTTTTCAAGTAAAAATTATAATATTAAAGAATTTTGATAATTTTAGGAATTAAGTGTGCTGCCATATAGTTTTTGGTTTTATATAACACATATTTAAATGCAGATATACGTCCAAAAAAAAAACCAGAAGAAGCTGAGGTTTGAATGCCATCAAACACGCCGAATCAAGAAGGTACTCCAAGGAAGATTTCAAATTCGATAGTCAGATTTCACTTTAAAAGATTTGGAAACAATGTGAATTTCTTTAAGATTTATTTTTTTATGACAAAGATATGACAATAAAAAATGTCGAAATTTTTATAAATATTAAAGTTTTCTTACTATAATAAATTTATTTCGATGTCCTAATATCATCACATTACCTAGTACATTATATGGATACATTACCCATAGTATTTTTTCATTATAAATTAATTAAAATTATTACTTGTGAAATATTATAAGAATGTTAAATATATCAATAACAGTAATTATCATTATAATTTTCAATGTATTCAACTTCTGTAAATATGTATTAGAGTTACTCTCAACTACCTATATAATGCAAAATTCAACTCGAAAAAAAATAAGTGATCGTGTTGATTAAATGACTGACATCAGTTCACTTTCATAATAATAAATGGCGGATATTATTTCGACAGGTCTATATCTATCTTGTCTACATAATTTATAATTTACAATTTTTTTTTTTGCTTCTCTACATTTTGCTTTTCAATATTAAAAGATTATAATTAATTAGTCATGATGTATTTTATAGATTATAGCGATTATTAGACAGATTATTGCTTCAGTCTTATTACAAATTTATTTTTTTTGTTTTTCTTAATTTATATTTGGAATAAAATTATCATATATTATTTATATAAAAGAAAGAGAAAGAAAAAAAATTATTAAAAATGTTGATCCAAATCACATTAACAGGTTAATATTATTAATTTAATACGTTCAGGTAACAGGTTGAGGTGATTTGTAAAATTAAAAAAAAATACTACCTATAGAGCTAACAAACACTATCTATATAGATTAAAATATAAAAAAGTAGGTATAAATATGTGTGTTAATGCATATATGCATATGTATTTGATTTTTAATTTATTGAAAAGCTTCTTAATTAAGAAGATTATTAAGTTAATATAATATTTTATTAGCAAATTCTTTAGTTATTTTGTTTTAAAGTATTATTTTGGTCTCACCAATTAGTTTGACTAAAAAATAACAATAATTAAGTATAATAATAATAATAAAGTGAAATTGAAACTTATAACATATCTTTTTTTCTCTGAAATCTGAATTAATTTATAATTTAAATTTTAATAAAGGGGTACATATACATATACACTATTATAATGTATGGAAATTTGAAGAATATTTTATAGTAGATATTCTTTTTTATTATTATTGTTGTCATTAACAATTAATATTATGAATAATAATAAGTTTTCGTATATATGTTTTTACAAATTTATTATTTTATTAACGTTTTTGATATTTAATAATACCGTATAAGTATTATTTCATATGTATATAAGTTAAATGAATAAACTAATTAATATGCTATGTAAATTATTATTAAATAAATTACTTAAAATTATGGCGACTAATGAAAGAGAGAGAGAGAGCAGTAAAAAAAAATTATCTCCGGTTTTAAGATTAGCATTTAAATTTTTTATTATAAAATTTTTTAAGTTTGGTATTTTTTTTCGGTTTTTTAAAAATTTACTCTTTTTTTTTTTACAAAAATGATAATTATTGTTGAGCGCTAATGGCTATTAAAAAAATTTATGTGATTATGGCGCCATTTTGACAACATTTACCTTTGATACTTTGGGTGATAACAATTACATATCTTGGGATATATACATATGAATGTATATACAATTAGAATGTGAATTGTTTGCTCATTCTGAGTTTTCAATATTAAATAAAAACAAGTGTTAAACAGTTTCCAGTCTTATTCCCGGTTTTGTCCTTTCAACCGATCAACTCATTTTATGGAAAACTACTCAATTTATAACGGGTTTTTCTTTCACATAACAGGGTTTTCTATCATTCTAAAACTTAACAGGAAAGCTTGCTAATTAAAATATTTTTATATTTGTGTGGGTTGGTATAAAAATTATTCAACTTATTTCCATATGTTTTGATCAAATATCAAACAATAAACTTATTAATGAAAAAAATAGATTTTTATATGATTTTTTTCTTTGAAAACTTACTGCTTGTTAGGTCTCCTTATTTATATTGTGTATATTTCAATTCACTTATGTACAACTCTACTTATTCATAATCGTAGATGTTCTTACCTGAAAATAAAAAAGAATTAATTTATTATTCAACGTGTTTTCATAAAATAATAGTTAATATTAAATATTGATAACAACGTTACTAATATAAACTACAATATACATATTTTTATTTAATTTTGATGTGTACATTTTACAAAAAAATATTAAAACATTTGAAAAAGCACCAATTACTGCACATGAATTAGTATCTTTTATATTTTGGCTCCGTGTGTCTAATTCCCAATATTTATGTTTTCTTAATTTTTAAATAAGTGTGTTTAATCAAAGCTACATTTGAAATTTAATATTTATCTGCACGTATATAATTTCTTTCCTTAAAAATATTAAAAATTGTCTTATTTCTTTAAATGAAATTTTAATAAGTAGTTTTGCAAATTTTTTCTTTAAAATTTCAATTGAGAAGAAGAATACATTCAATTCGGTTTTATGTAATACACAATATATAATTATAATTAATATACCTACTGGTATAAATTTAATTTTGACAGACAAGCTAATAAATTAACTTCATGACCAAAATGACCTCAACCAACAGCACCTAATTACTTTTTAAAACATCTTTTTTCTTTGCCGTCAAGTCAATTTTTTTCTTATTTCGCATTTTTTTTTTCTTTCACATTATTTAATATTTTTGCTCATTTAATTAAAATAAAAAAAAAATTAACAAAAAATAACTAAAATGAACCGTGAAAGACAAGGAAAAACCGAATAATAGAAGAAAGAAAATTCAAAAAACAATAAAAATGTTTAAATATGAAAAAAATAAAATAAACCTAAATGATTAATGTGCACTCAACAAACAAAAGTTTTAATTGATTTAATGATTAATTATGCGAATACAAAAAACATAACAGTTAGATTAAAGAAAAAAAGGAAATCAATATTTCACATACACATGATGCTCAAAGAAAATAACAAATAAAGCTAGTGAAACCAATGGTTTATAAAAGAAGCAAATTTAATTTTAAAAATGTAAATTATCAACTAGCCATAATTAGGAAATATCAGGGTTTTGTTCCACAAAATTTAAAAAATCTAACAGTAAACGTACGGACAATATTGAGCTAATTATCACAAATAGTCTGAAACAAGCCCATTTTTCCAAGAAACAGGCAACAAGATGTTTTCACTGTTTGTGGGAAAGGAGGTAAAAAATTTTTGCAAACTAAAAGGTGTTTTGTTGTAAAATATAAGTGACCGGACAGTAGAAGGTTCGCCTATTCCTGCTAAATTTTTAATAATAATAAAATTTCTATCACTTCTTCTTATAATTTATTCAAACTGAACAAATTATGCTGTGTTAAGTTTGGAAAATTTAAAGTCTAATTTAAAAGGAATCGATTTCTGAAATATGGATTTTGTGTGAATAGTAAACATACCTTAAATTTCCAGCTTTTCAGTTTTTATATACATTTATTCTTTTTGACTGATGCGTAAGGACATATACATATACATATAACGGTTACAATATTTTTTAATAATTCAGAGTTCAAATATACAATATACAATTTGCATCAATGTCTTGAATAAACATTTCAAGTATACATATATATAATTTATTATAATATACATCACAGATTTATGAGCCTGTATGATTAGTCTGTAATTAAATTTCAAACACTATAATTATAAAGTAAGCTTTTTGCTTATCTTACCTACTCGTAACATATTTTATGTTAACAGCCTCTTCCATCTTTCTACTCCTTAAAATCTATGATTGTGATTTCTTTATAAAATTATTTATAATTATTACCGATTGCCATAATCAACCATTTTTAACATCATTTTTTTTTAAATTTTGTTCCCATTAATTTAGTAGACACTAGACAGAATTTCAAAGTAAAAATTTTCATTCAACTGTCAATAATTATTATGACTTTCGTTCTTTAATTTTACATCTACATAAAATAATATTTTTGAACTGTCATCTGTCAGTCACAAATTTTATTTATTGTTAAAATATTTTTCTTTTGTTTTATTTTCCTTTTTTTTATTCACTTATTGGAAAAAAAAATTCATAAAAAATTTTTCATTTCTTTTTATTTTATTCACTACTGTCAAAAAAAAAATGTTTTTTTTTTTTATTTTACTGTCGACAAAATTGGAAAATGAAAAACCTAAATAAATTTTGACATTTCATAAATAATAATTTCTCATACACATATAAATAATGAAATGAAGTAAAAATTGTGAATTTTTGTGTGGCCTTGACGTTTCAATTACAATCGATTACGCATATTTTATTTTTTTTTTTGTTTTATTGTAGCTTCTCGGAGGATGATACCATATTGTTAAAGCTGATATTTGAGAGAGCTTGAAAAAGTCTTTGATTGATGATAATTGATTGACGGATAATATATAAATTATGCATAAAAGCACAAAATTTTATTTGTGCATGTCATTATTGAAGAAATATAAGCGTCAAATGCAATGATGTAATAGATTTTATCTCATGTACATAAGCACAATCTCATTGTAATCACAAATTTAAATTAATTACGATTAGAAGATGGTTAATAAAATGTTAATTAGTTTTGTAATGTGATTAATTGATCAGATTTAAGAAAATTCTATACACTAAAATTTGTCGAATAAAATGGAATCTAAAATTGTTAGATCCCACGTTTGATAATATAAACTTTGGAAGCGGCTAACCATTTGCTACTTTGTCGCACTTTTAAATCAAAGAAACTCGATTTGTTTTTTAATTCACTTGCATCGTGTTTTTTAGATCGAACTCAAATATGATGAGCTTTATTGTACCTTCAAAAGCAAAAGTAAAAATTCCGTTCAAAACAAATTATTGGTATTATATTTTTTCCACTTTATCCATTTTTAATTAATGATGATGGAATTGCGTGTCTTTAAGTTAATAATGTAAAAAAGTAACAAAAAATATTAAACGCAATTAACAATAAAAAAAAACACAAATTAAAATTCCTCTGCTAAAATTCAACTATAAATTCGTCATGAATTCATGAAACCATATAAAATTGAACACTATGAGTTGGGATTTACGAATAGAGCTGTTTTTGATATAAAAAATAACATAAAAAATGAAATAACAGCAACAATAACAACGACGAATCATGATATTTTTGACCGCATGGGGCCAATAATGATTTTTGATAAATGAATTTAATGATTAAATAAAATGTTAAAAATTTTTGTTTGGAAGGCTACTACTAATAATAAAAATAATAACAATAATAAATATAATACATAAAAAAACACATAATAATAATAATAATAATAATAAAAAACCGTAAATAAATAAAAAAAAATTAAAATGGCTAACCAACCACGAAAAAAGAAAAAAAGTGATAAATTTTTGGTGGTTATTTGTATTTAAAATTGACAAAAAGAAAATATTGAATAAAAATAAAACAAGTGTGTAGAGTGTTAATTACGATTTATATTCTGCTTATGGGATGTTTGTTATAGACGACAATATGTATGTATACATTATGTTACGTAATGTATTTTATTGTAATCCTACTGTGATGATAGCACTGATAATAATGATGATGATAGTTTGTTGTGATATTAAACGGTAAAGAGATGATGAGCTAAAATTTAACTTTTTTTTTGTGGTTATGTTCCTTGTTTTTTCTTCATTAATTATTACATGTTTGAATAATATAGTGAAATAGTGATGATATGCTGTAAATTATATGCATAAAAACATTAACATGTACGTACATACAATCATACATTTAATGTACAAATGGCACTTGTAATATAAAATTGTAAACGAAGTAATTATTACTTAAGCATTGAATAAACTTTTCATTGAATTAGGTCTTATGTTCAATAGCAAAAAACACTTTGGCATTTAGTGGATGGAACACTTATACCATTTAATCTAAGAATATATGAACTAGATGAGTATTATTCTAGATGCATTACGGTCTTAGCTAAATAAGCAATGCAAAATGGTGACGCTGCATGTTTGCAATTTTAATACCATGAATGGTGTGAATTTAAGTGTCGACGTCATTAAAGTGTCATTTTGACATTTTTGGTTGTCACTCAAAGTAAAACTAAAAAAAAGCGCGTTTCTTAGTGTATGCAGTCAGGTCGTCGCCCTATTTGTTTCATTATGAAGTATAAAGCAATTATTGGGACTTATATTAAGAAAATAAAAAATAAAATTAAGCAATAATCTAACAAGAATAAAGTTTAAAAACTTTGGTACGCAAATATATTTCATAAGATTCTATAAAAAATTGTTGTTTCATAAGATCAAGTGTTGCTAAATTGGCACCGGAACTAAATTTTAATTTTCAAGCGCAGTCGGAATCACTCCGGTAAATGGCTTTAGATTTTTATGGAGAAGAAACAAATTCTTAATACTTAAATTTACAAAAACGTATGATTGGTCTTAATTGTTAGTGTTTTTTCCATTTCCAAATTACTCCGGAGCATTTTTTAATATTATGTATGTATATACACATGTGCATATATAGCTCGTGTAAATGGAATGCAAGAAAAAGTGTTGGTTACATGGTATGTATAATAAATTGTATTATATAACATATTGACATGAATATAATATACATATATATATGAATTGTACATACAACCCTGAATGTGTATAAACAACAAGTGTGACATAATCATAATATGAAGAATACTATGTACTTGTGTATTTTACTACACAATGTTATTAGTAATTACAGAAGTATTTGATTGAATGTTTATTGAATATTAAATTTGTAGGTTTAATTTTTTGTAATTTTCCCTTAAATTTTACTGATAGCCTCCTATAACAAATTTGTTTAGGTTATTTAAAGATACATTTACACAAAAGATTATTTAAATTGCAAAAAGTCTATACGTAGTTATACGTTTATCAGATAATTAAATTTAAATGAAAATTTACTTAAATTTATAATGCACTTAGTTATTAAGTAATTATTTATGATTATAATCGTTTTATACTTAATTATTTTATAATTATTTGAAATTTAATTAATTAGTGAGATTTCTACTGA